GCAAAGACCTATTCAGTACACATGGGGCAACACTAACAGCCAACCACCTGCTTGTCTCCATGATGCTGTTGTAGACTGTAGATGTTATTGCTTTGCCAAAATGTTCTACAGTATGTCAGTAAACTTCTCTATCTCACATTTAATCAGTTACAATGCTATACTGTGGAACATTCAAGGCGAAGCAATGACATCTCCATGGATACAAGGAAGTGGCGTACCTTACACCTGAAAAGTTAGTGCAAATATTTTCGTCTTGAGGTTGCAAAGGAGAGAAGGTGGATAAAAGGGGAGTGAAAAACAATGTGTTTGAATGTGCATTATTTATACAGAGGGAAAGCAGTCTGGTCCCCACACCCTCCATTTGTTTTGTTTCTTTCAGTGACATGTGAAACGATGGAGCTCATTGGTCACCTATTATATACAAACAAATCTTAATTTCTCTCACCTCAGATTAACAGAGTTTAATGAATTCTTCATTTTGCACAAATAGGCATTGTTTTTCAGTCCCTTGTGATATTTTTCTTTTCTCCTTGTAAGCAGCCATGGACCATGCATGTCCCTGACTGGCTAATCCATCTGTCAGCCATGCCAATCTGAAAACAGGGAGATTCACCAGTGACCAGACTCACATTTTTGTAAAATATTGAAGAAGTGTATGTCCTGGATCCCTAGCAAACAACTTGCAAAAACTGGGATTTGAATTCATGACACTAAAATATGCTGCAACTTTGCAGTTTATAAAATCTGTTTCAGTATTTTTTTTTTTTTTTACCTCAAGGAAATTTCTATCTAAAATAGTTTTGATGAAATAGTTTTTAAAATAAAATTCTATTACATGAATATTTTACTGTCTGTTTAAAGGTTATCCAAATATCACCCACCAAACCCTTGGACTTTTGCCTTTAACATTATGCAAGCATAAGTAACCAAAGAGCGTAATGATAAAAGAGTTTTTATGCAGTCACTTGTAATGTTACACATCTCTTCAGTTCAGAGGGTACAGGGTAATTACAGTGGTGATGTTTGATATGGCTGTCATCCCAGTGAAAGCCCAGGAAATAGACCACAGCAGTGACATGAAAGGATGACATTGTGCGGCAGAGGTGAATGAATAAAACATAGAAAGTGTTGCATAAATCTTGAAGAAGGCTAAGAAATACGTCACAATTTGAGATAGAGAAGACTGAAGGTTTCAAATGACCATTCTATTGTTCAGTCACTAACATGAGAGGCAGTGGCCATTGCACCAAAAGCGGAGGTCAGTAGAGGTAATGTGATTAACCTTGTGCAGTACTAGTGGATGGATGCAGCTGGAGAGTCAGGGGACATGGCTCACACCAGCTCTTGTGAAAAATGAATGAGAACTAAAGTGGCTTGTAAAGCACTCGTAAATTGATGATGGGCTTCCTGTGACGTGAACGTGATGTAAGGAAATATAGTCTAGTCCTACTTACTAGTCCTCTCCACGCAAGTCAATAAGGTCATTGTGCCAGTAATTATATGTCCACATTTTGTTGATGAAGCAGCATGGAAATTGTAGTTTGGATGGCACCTATTGCAAATTGGGCTGGCTGCAATTTTCTGTTATATATGGTGCCATTTTGAAGATGGCTGACCATTCAAAAGATATAATATTTTGTTTTGAATTGTTAATTAATAGAGCCACAGTCCTAACTTTTCATCATTCTGAAACCTGTGGATATGCAGCTCACTATCCCTGCCAACTGTTTTTGTGTTACTGTTTTGGACAGTTTACTTTGTTCTTGTATGTGACACTTTTGGGCTTGCTTAATTGCTTATCTGTATTTTGTATTTCAAAGAAACTCATTCAAATCATAGTCAAGGAAGAGTCCATTTGGATCATTGTAATTAGCATGACTATACAGAGACGTATTCTCACTTTGATTTACGCATGAGCTGCTCTCTGTCTGTTGGATGCATTAGTGGATTCACTTGAATGTGCTGACGTGTGGCTCTGTACATAACGTTGATTAGTCATGTGAAGAGCGGCGGTTGACTGAAGTCTCTTATTTGCACACCCAGAGGAAATGATAATGTGTGTTTAGTTGATGATCTCACATCTCTCATCTATATATGACTGTAATATCTAGTTATTGATGAAAAGGGCCTTAATGGAGTGCTAATGCAGAGTCTTACTGACAGGAGATGAAGATAATAAAGGTTTATTATATTTGACCAGTTGGGAGTGACTGAATGAATCGGAGACCTAGAAAATTTTATTGTAGGCATATGAAATCAAAATAAACTGAAAATGTTATGTGTAAAATATCTGAAATGTATTAACATTTACATGTTTTCATTGATAGTCCATCTTTTGGGAAGTGTCATCCTGAAGAAGGTATTAAAACTGAGAATTGACATTTCACTGTGCACACACATACACACACACAGACATTACAGCTGCATCATGGGCTCAAATCTCGGTCCAACCATTTACACAGCGTTATGTTATGGCTCTCCTGCTGCTCACTTTAAGCACACAAGCCAAAAAATAAGCTTGGGTGGGCAATACTGACAAAAAAGAAGTAATTGTTATTTGGGGGGAGTATTACAATAACAATAGTCAGAAGATGCTTTTGCAGTTCAACAGAAATGTTTTAAATGTATTCATTGAGGTTGTATTCAACAAATGTTAAAGGACAATGGATGCACTGGTATGATACTGGAATTGTTGCTGATACTGAATATTTTCAAGGAGTGAATATAAGCTCTGTTAATAATAATATTGGTTCCATGGATATGCTATTTTGTTCTATACATTTGAATAATAAGACAATTTACTGGCCAATGTTTGCCCAAAGCACTTAATATTTTTCAAAGTTAGTAGTCTGTAGTTACTAGAGAAAATAAGACTAAAAGACTAAATAACAGTTACAAGACACATTTGGATTTTTTATTTTATTTTTTTTTACAAAACGCCATTTGTGTTTAAAGGAAATAAATTATATTTTCAGTCTCTGCCTTAGTATTAGTTGATATTGGTTATCTGCAGATATTTCCTTATTATTACTACATTAAAACAAATATACTTCATAATGTAATACATACTTAGAGTGTTTTTATCCATATTTTCAGTCTTCAGTCTCTGCTCCGTGGTTCTGTAATGCCACAATGAATCTGCAGTTTGTAAATGTCACCTGAAAATTTTCTCCTCCAGAAATTATAGCACCACAAGCCTCTGCTACTCTGCCACTATGCTGCTATCCAAACTGTCCCAACAGACAAGATTGAGCCACATGCAAGTCTGAGCTGACACTTACTGGAACACCATCTTCCCAATTCTGCTGTTCTCAATTATCTGAAATTTCAGCAAAAAATAAAATAAAAAAAAGAAACCCAAACTGAACTAAATGAAATTAAATCAAAATAGTTTTTCATTAAAATAACTTCAGACAGTGACACTGATGAATGTGATAAATGTGAAATATTATCCAGGGCTTAGCAGTTGCATGTAGAATTTTAAAGGTGCCTATTTTGACAGGTGGACGGTCTGCCATCTGCTTGTCTCCATGGCGATATTGCTTTGCCTGAAATGTTCCACATATGGCATTATTAGACATACTGTATCTTGCATTTAGTAAAGTAAAGCATTTTGTTAAAAGAATTACCTACATAAATACACATTCTTCCTGTGAGCAGGCTTAACTCTCCGCAGATCTGATCAGATTAAAGTGGTCTGGTAGTGTCACCTGCTTGTTTCCTTTGAGATATACAAGTTTACAGCCATACTGTGGAACATTACTAGCAAAGCAATAACATCTCTGCAGAGACAAGCCAGTGGCCAACACTCAACCAGAAAAGTTGCAGTGCACACTTTACATAGACAATGGATGATTATGCTTGTGTGGCAGTTCATCAGTCTAAACGATCAAAGTGAATTATTTAAAAGTGGTTTATGCCATTATGTCTTCATCCCTGTCTGTCAATTTCTTGGATTTTTGTCTGTTCGATGCCATATTTCTGAAACTTGATGACGGAAAACTACTAAATGCTTTTCATGAGCTAATGCATTTTCAGTGAGCGGAGCTAAAAGCCTTTTAGAGGGCTTCCCTATTAAACGCATCTCCCCTCCCATGTATTATACCCCTCTCTTCCTCTTTCTCTCCACCTTCTCCCCTCCCTTTGCTCTCCCCCTCTCCTCTCACTTTCTCTCTCTGCCCCTTCTGACCCTGTAAACCCCACTGTTCTCTCTTTCTCTACTCCCTCTTCTCCCAACCTGGCCCTGCACATTCCTTCCCTTTCCTTCCATCCTTTTTTCTCCTTCTGTTCTCCCCCTCTCCTCTCTTTCCTGACTCTACTAGTATATATTCCTCATTTCTTTCTGACCCCATCCCCTATCTTCTCCTCCCCTCTTCTCTCCATGTGTCTTCCCTCTCTCTCCTCCTGATCCCATACACCCTTTTGCTTGCTCTCTCACTTTCTCTCCCCCTCCCTCCCTGACTCCTTACACCTTCTGCCCATCACCCCTCTCTCCTTCCTCCATCTCTACCTACTCCTCTCTCCTCTTCTTTAACTGTTCACTAACCTCCTCTCCTTCTTTCCCTCTCACTGCTCCCTCTCCTCCATTCCTGACCCTCTATACCCCTCTTCCCCCTCTCTGTTCCTTACTTTCCCCTCCTGACTAGAGATCAAGTGATGTGTTTATGGCCATTGCCGATAACGATGTTTAGAATCCTGAGCAGCCAAATGGCCTATAAGCTTTGCCGATATTTTTGGGCCAAGACGCAGGGACAATTTAGATTCTTTCCACGAAATTATGTCGTTTAATTTACGACAAACTCACCTTCACAAACCTTGGGATTTGAGCATTTTGAGCAGTTATCTGTTTGCCCTAAAGTGTTCAAATAAAGCTTTATGTGTACTCTTTAGGCAGCAAGTCAGACAAAACAAAATAACCAATACACTAACAAGTGCAAATATTTGCCCTATATATCGGCCAATCCATCTTTACTCCTGACCCCTATCTTCTCTCTCTGCAGTATGGCCCAGGGTTTCCAGTGCTAGTGGCCGCTGTGATGGGTTCTGAGGATCACAGTTCCAACATGTCGCAGAAGATCTCGTCTCTGTCTCGTAGCAATAGCAGCTCCTCCTCCAAACATGACAGCAGACAGGTAACTCACACCCAACTAATGCCAACGTCAAGAGCTCAGCCAGCCACTGTGGGAATAATCCTACCTTGGAGTATACACTATTAAATATTGACACTTTTCTGGAGTAAAATCCACAATAATAAAGTTCCCAGTGTTTCCCTTAATAGAGGAGACTGCAGTGAACCGTCAATTTTTTGTTCCAATAGACTAAACAAGCTGCAATAAATTGGTTTTAAAAATATCCTTATTGCTTGTTGTATTAAATAGGAAAGTGACAATATTTCATCTAGATTTTTTTATTTGTAAAGGTAATGAGTGATGCTCTATGCACCATGTAGACTACATCTGAACACAAAGGCAAGGAATGTGGAATGCTTCTTATGACCTACTATTTTACTTTCAAGGGGCTTCCGCTTTGGACTTGTGTTATAATTATGTACTCTAACAGTAGATTGCAGTTTATATTTTCTAATTTGTATTTCATTAAGTAATCTACCTAACTTAGTCAGAACATGTCACCATAGTACCGTATTCTCTTTGTGCCAAAAACCAAAACCAAATACACGAAGAGAATAGTTTCCTGAAGATATCACATCAGCAGCACTGTCACTGTATCGCTGATTGTAACAGATGTGGTTGTTGTGATACCAGAGCCAAAAGTAGATACTAAATAAGCTCTTCATATAAAGTTGTTTATTTCTCTGTCTAAAGCACTTCAGCTCCTTCTGCGTCTATTGAGACTGACTGGTCCATTGCTTGTCCGTGTCACATGACTCTAAAGGACCAATGAGGTGCAGAGAATCTGCACTGACGTCCCTGCTGCTGGATATTCCATTAAAAACCGCAACAAGACGGAATTCCTAGTTCGCTTATTGGGAAATTTGGCAGGTCACATTCAAAATTCTCTGACTGGGTTAATAATATACAAGAAGGTAATGACATTGAGTACATTTAAGCCCATGTTTTAACAGCGCTGATAACGATACTGCGTCTCCGTTTAATCTCAGAGTATCTTGACCTTGAAGAATAGAGCCTAGGCAACGTTTGGCAATGACTCACTGCACAAATCATTGAGTGTTCTACGGGCTGCTTAGAAGCCACACCCCCATCACACACACATCCCCCCCTTGCAAGAGAGGGGCTTTTATTTAAACTCATTTAGATATTCAGAGGGATCAACGAAATAATTAAAACCAGATTAAGAACACTGAAGCAAGTTGCCTCCAAGCGCTTCCAAAAACTCATAAAGAACTGTGTCATTGTCACAAATCAGCAAGATCCAGAAAAGTTACACAACAAAAAATAAGTATTTAGTTTAAAGGAAAAGTATAGCATAAAATATACAAAGTGTCTCAAATAATGTAAATAATAATGTTAGAACCAGAAGGAGGCGACAGTTGCCAGTCATTGTGAATAAGTGCACATTCAGCAAATGTGCTTCCGGACAAACAATAAAAAGGGAACCAGATTTTAAGACTTGTTTTTAAGACAAATTGAAATACTAAATCCTTTGAAGATGCACTATGTAACTTTTCTGGTGGGGGCTCTGCCAACTGCTTGTTTGTATGGAAATTGTATTGCTTTGCCTTGAATGTTTCACAGTGTGGCATTACATTTATTTATTATTTATTAATTGATTCAATTTGCAGTGATTTTATTGTTAAAAGATCTCTTGTCACCTGCTCGTCTTCATGGATACACCTAATTTTATAATGCCAGCAATGCAGTACTGTACAATAATTAAATAATAATAACATCTCCATAGTGACAAGGTGGCGGTCCCTCCACCAGTAAAGTTACATAGTGCACTTTAACCACAGTTCACAGTTTACAGGTAAATTATAATCACTACAATAATAACCTTATGTTCACCTCCTGTTTGAAAACCATTGTGCAATCTTCTCCATGTCCCCTAATGTGTCTGTAATCCTGGGCTTTCTGGGAACTCTCACTGCAGGAGCTCTCACTCTGTGGATTAGTCTGTGATGAAATATTACCTTAATCTCTGTATTTGTAGGGATTTTGTTCAGTACATGTTGAATTGTAAGAAGAAAATTATTATGGTAAAAAGTGAGATTAGGCAGGTAAACTCATTCTGTAAACGGAACGTAACATAAATTACAACAAAAACAGAGCTTTCTGTTTGAATAAATACACCAGCATTCATTTCATTTATTTCACTTTGTTTTCCCTTAAGATTGTCTTTGTTTGTTTAAATTATTGAATATCAGCAAATCCAAAAGGAATCAATTAAGCTTAGCATCTTCAAGATGTACTGAAATGGAATATGCAACAAAGGGAACTGTGCAATGAATGGAGTGTGCAATGAATGGGAACTGTGCAATAATGGGAACTGTGCAATAATGGGAACTGTGCAATGTTGGAACTATATAATGAGTGGAGTGTGCAATATTTTAGTGTCTTGCCCCCTGTGACACTTGCTCTTGGAACAACGGATGGAAATTAGCCTTAGGCTACAATCCGGTGTGTTTACATTCATGTTGTCACGTTTGTTCATTAACATGCTCTGTCCAAATCAATTAAATAAATAAATAAATAGATAAATAAATAAATAAATGGTTGTTTGAGTTTTGCAAAAATCATAATTATGAGTACAGGGCTGGGACGAACACATTGGAAATCTATTTAGTTACAGAATACTGAAATTCTGCATTAAAATGTATTTTGTAATATATTCCAATACATGATCCAATCGAATAATGTGTTACTGAATACTTTTGCATCAAAGTTGCATTGTATTATAGTATAAAAATGGACTCAGGATTAAAACAGTTTAATGTTTGTTGCACTGGTTTTATTTATTCATCACAAGTGAAAGAAGGAAAAATCATGCTGCAAAATGAGCTGTTTATTATTCTTTTTATTGATTTATGTTTTATCTCACAGCAAGCTTTTCAGTTGAATAAAAAAAAAAAAATCCATTTAATACATTTTTGTTTATCTATTTTTTCCCCAAAATGGGTATTGTTCTGTTCAGTATCTCACCTCACAGAGAGTTCTTCCCACAGGACAGCTGGGAGATTGTGGAGGGTCTGAGAGGGGGCTACAGTAACATCCAAGAGCCACAGAAACAGGAGGGCTACCTGCACAAGAGGAGGAAGTGGCCCATGAAAGGATGGCACAAGGTATATGTTTGTTGTCAGTTTCTTATTTATTTATTTTGGGGGTAATTTTACACAAAAACACTGCACTAGAAGTTTCTCAAATATAGGATTATTTTAGAGTTAATTTGTAAAACAAGTACCCTGCACATTTTGCTATTCTTGTGTTTAACTGTAGGAATAATGTCTATCCATGTGACTCAGATCTGGAGTGTGGACGCAATAGCAATGAACAATTTCAAATCAGTGTTTTATGTATTTTGAATTAGCAAATGGTCTCTAGAATTTCTTCAAATCACTTACTCATTTAACCCATGATTCATGAATAGAAAGAGTTGATTGCAAAGTTGCCGTCCAAAAGTCGGCTAAGTCAAACCCAACTATACGACTTCACAACGATGGCTAAAATCAAGTAATTAAACTTTTACAGAGTTCCACAATCTATGAATAAATGATTAAACATTGAAGCCATTCCTAAGTTTTTATCTCTGTTTTAAAACTAATGGCTGTGTTCAGTGAGTCATGTTTGTCATTCTAAGTTAGCCTACACACTTAAACAGGCATCTTGCTGCCAGGCTTTCTTGTTGTTGCTCCAAGATCCATTAACTCGATAGCACTGGTTGTTAATAGAACTCTATACATTTAGTATTGATTAACACATCTTTGAGCTTTCAACAGGATTTTGGTGATGTACATTAAACATTAGGGATCATTTACGGGAGTATATTGGATACATTTGAGTAATAAAGCCCAATTACAGCCACCCACCCAGATTTTACCTCAACACAGAAAAGTACATTTTGCCCTGACTCTGACCTGGCAGTGACTTGAGCTTTTGTCTACAGAGATACTTTCTGTTGGACAAGGGCATCCTGAAATATGGAAAGTGCAGCGCTGACGTGAGTACAAAAGCTTTCTAACTGCATTATGTGCACCTGTCACTCACCACAGCTTATAAGAAGCAGCATGCGTCTTTTAACACTGCACACACATAGGGCTGCACAGCTTCTGCCTTTCTTTCCTGAAATGAATTGCAGTTGCTGTTAGTTGCAATTTATGTTTTCAAATCAGGGTTCAATTCACAGTAGACTTGTCAAAAAATGTATACCCAGATATTAATTAATACAAAACTAGATGTTTGTTTGAGCGAGTATCAGTGCAAGGAAAAATCTGTATGACGTGAATTTTTTCCTAAATTGCTTTAGAATGGTTTTGATCAGGACTAGTTTAAGATCATACAATCACATGAAATAAACCGCTATTATTTCATGTTGAATATTACGTTATTATCATAGTGTTTTATTTAGTATCAAAATTGAGTTTGAAATTTTTGTATTGTATTTTGACAACCCTAGTTCACTGAGAGGTGTGAACACACATAGAATGCATTTCAGAACATGTTTGTGAAGTTCTAATATACAAGATTAACAAGTATATGTCTGCCTAGGAAAGACACCCTTTGTAATTTGATAAATGCGGCCATTCAATTAAGTATTTTGATTCAGTTGCGATTAGTGCTGCATTCTGAGTTGAAAAATGCACACAAACACTTGAAAAACTTGGGAACTCAGGCCAGAACCATCTAGCTAAAGTAAACAAATAACATTTAGTTTTGAGAAAGCTAATAGCAACAAATCGTACTGGTTAGCTCATTTTAAAGCTGGTAATGAGTGAAATGAAGTCGGAACATCTTATCTCAGAATCCCAAGTTCCCGAGGATCCCATGGATGCATCATAACTGTGCAGCCGTAACATTTCCCTGTATATAGACGGAAAATCAAATCACAAAATAATCAGTGAGATAAATGATCACACTCACTCTCAATTTTAGCTCATGATATTTTTACAATACAAAAGTTCTTAAAGGTGGCTAAATATAGAACTATTATTAATTTTGCTGACTGTCAGGTTTTAAATGAGTGCATTTGAAAGCTGGGCAGACTACCGGAGCATGGGTATAAAGCCTAATCTAATTTATTCATAAGTGTGCACTGACTTTCCCTTGTCTTGCAGATTGAGAAGGGAAAACTGCATGGTTGTATTGATGTGGGTCTGTCGGTCATGGCTATTAAGAAGAAAGCCAAGTGCATCGATCTTGATGCCGAGGAAAACATCTATCACCTTAAGGTAAACCACAAGGATACTCCAGACTGGGCTAACCCTACAGACTCACTGGAGGCAGAAGAGAAAATATCACTTTAGTCTTTGTTTCTGTAATGTTTCAAAAATATGATATACATATTTACATTCAGATTAATAATAACTGTATTGTATTTACTTCTCAATATTTTACTGGTTGCTGTTTGAAGTCAAACATCACAAAAAAAATTAAAGAGAAATATAGTTAGATTATTAAAAGCTGATTTAAATAAAGAAATATGATCACAACTGAACCTGGGTTGCCATTGTCTTAACCTACATATAGTACACATGTTTTTCTTATTCTCTATATATGGACAAGTCATGAAGCCATACTTCAAAACCCCCAGATTTAATTCATTCAGCTGCAGAGGCTGCACTAGCACTGATTAGTAATTATAGATAGTTGTAGGAACTGGTACCCAAGTGAAAGAAAGGCTCATTCCGCTTGCTGATTGGACGAGAACCAAAACACCAATGTACAAGGTTGTTATATCTAGGAATAAATCATCATTACAATTGTTATCAGGAAAAAACAATATTTCATTTGAACTGATTTACTCCAGTTTCCCGCATCAACTCAAAGTATGCTACATAGGTCTCCAGGAAGAATAGCTGATAGCTATGGTCAATTAAATACAATCAATCAATCAATCAATCAATGAACCTGCCCAGAGACTACAGGTGGAAATTAGCACTGCTGCTTCAACCTGGTACAAACCATCTCTCCTGTTAAGGTTAATGTATATTGTGCACAGTCCCTATCTCATTAAATAAATAAACTATACTAAATTTGAAATTAAATTCTACATATCCTCCCTTTAATGTCCACAGTAAGTTACAGTTTTACGACTCCCAACTTTCTTCGTCTCCTCCATTTGTCCTCATGTTTGGATTCCACTCTGCCCACTGCAGATAAAGTCCCAAGAGCTCTTTGACGAATGGGTCTCCAAACTGCGCCACCATCGAGTGTATCGGCAAAACGAGATTGCCTTGTACCCAAACGAGAAGACATTTTTCTCCCCACTCTTCCCCTCCCCCACATCCACCAGTACCACAGAGAGTGCCTCCATCAGAAAGGTACACACAATGCTGTTATCAAGCCAATAGCTGCCTAAACATCTCAATATAGGTTGGGTTCATGGTCTAGTTTTGATCATATTATAACCACAGATCACAGGCACAATCCATATTTTGTTATTATTGAATCCATAACACTGCTGTATTAATTGTATGACTTATAGAGCGTCAACTGACAATTATCAGACTGAATAATGCAACCATATTTTGATACTATTGTGAGACACTTATTTCATCTTATTGTTTTAGTGCTGACAGAGAAAATGTTAAATTTTATGTTGTTTTTTATCATGTGGTTAGGCTCAGTAATTAACCAGATGATAGCCAGAAATTAGGTTTTAAAAAAGGTGATGGACTATTGAAAGTCTGTCCTAGCTGTCCTGAATCTCAAGTAAATTTTTCCCATGGATAACCTTGGAATGTTGCCATATCAATTAACTCTAAATAACCAGAAGAGGCTGAAGATTTTGAATTTGTAAAAGACCTTAAACATGAACATGAATCCAAGCTATTGAAGAAATGTTAAGAGGGGGAATAGGTGTGACCTCTGCTCGTCTTTGCAGTGCATGTCTCTACGCCGACAGTCCACGGTGCATTCTCCAGGAGCCTTCCCCATAGGATGTAACAGTCAGGCCAAAGTCGCAGCCTGGCTCCAGTCGTCTGATGACATGGACAAGTGCTCCAAAGGTGACTCTACAGAACACACCGACTCTCAAAGCAAGACAGCAGCATCTGGTGCTTTTTCTCACTCAATTTTAGGTTTCGATTAAACCAGCTGTTTCCATCCAAGTAATTAAAATGAAGACTGTTGAGGTCAGTTTAAAAAAGTGAAGTGAAATTTGGGTTTGCTTCAGTGATAACATTAAAGGTTCACTATATAACTTTTCTGGTGAAGTGTATGCCTCCTGTTTGTTTACATGGAGATGTTATTGATTAGTCTGATGTTGTTAAACCTGACTGTGTCCACGGAGAGAAGAAGGTGACTCCTCCAGGCCAAGTTACAAACCCCATCTGTTAAAGCTCACACCCTCAGTGCATGTATTTTGTACTTTATTAGCATAAAATGGACTTGTAATTTGTCATGTCATACTGTGAGATGATCCAGGCAAACCAATATCTCTAAGGAGACTAGCATTTGACGTACTGCTCCCTCACCAGAAAAGTTACATAATGCATCTTCAGTCAATTTTATTTTAGATTTTATTTTTATTTTATAATGTCTGTGATGTGCAAGGTTTGAATATTGACTCAGCTGGGTTAATGTAGAAAGTAAATAATAGAACAAATTAGGAAATGCAATCTTTTTTCCCATTCAGACCAAAACGGCTCTATGCAATCAAGCTAGGAAATTGTCCTTCCCCGTGTGCCTGTTGACTGGAGCAAGAAATGAATTTATATTTATTTTTCTGCCTTGCATCAGAGAAGCTGTACATAGCCTGTGCTCTTGCAGTTTTAATAAAGTTATAACAATCACAACTAAACCTGGCTAGTGACCAGTGCCTTAACCTGCAGATGGAGAACACAGACACAAGTTTTCCTCATTCAGTATATGGACAGGATACACTGCGGCAGCAGAGGCACTTATTAAGGATTCACTGCAGGTGTTGGGGTTCAGGTAGTGAGAATTCAGATCAGAGAGCCCTTTAAGGTTTAAACCAAATAGATTTCAGTATTGAAACTGGCAACCCAAATGAGACCTAGCCAGGCTGGCACCACCTAATGCCTCTGCTCAGTTTTATTTCTCTCCAGCGACTAGGTCAGGAATCGGAATACACTAGATGGTTTGCAAGAATTTCGGAAGTTGTAGACCTTGCACTGGCCAATCAGCGAAGAGCTGTGAAACCATGACTGGATCTGTTTTTTGTGGTACAGCACAACAATAAACAAAGCGAAACCAGGCATTCTGTGTTGGCAGCGATTCCCGCGATTGAGGATTTAAAGCCGGAACAAAGACAGTGTTTGGTGAATTTTATCAAGGGGAAAGATGTTATTGCCCTTGTTTGTACAGGATTTGTGAAAAGCTTAATATACCAGTTAGTGCAGCGATTGGTTAAATAAAAAAAGTACCTGCCTACTGTTGAGAACAAATCCTAATGCTGCGAGGTCAGACGGTTTCCACAAAGTGAAACCAGCTGATGAATCAGGCTCAATGAGACATTCATGTGCGGCCCATTCTGCTTTCTGATTGGATAAACCAAATTATAACTTAAACAACTTGGTTGTCATGCCCAATGTTTTTGTTATTGAGAATAAATCAGCATCACAAAAGCTTCTAGTAAAGCTATATTTGATTTGAGCATGTCTACTATATCTGGAGACATAGTTAAGTCATATTTATGTAATTCAAAATTTAAATCTTGCATACAGTTCCTTTAAACCTATCTGTCCTCTCTCCAGACATTTCCGTGTGTGAGGCCTACCTGCTGGAGCTGTCTCACCTGTTACAGAGCATGGAAGTCCTTCACCGTACTTACTCTGCTCCATCCATCCAGGCTCTACAGGTCACAAATACAATCAAAATTAGACATATTGAAATTTAAATATTCTATCCTTTAACTAATGTTTGTCTTTTTTTAGGCATGTACATTTGAAAGCCCCAAAAAAGAAAAAAGACTCCCAAGAAAATGGCGTACAAAAAACTACAACAAAGACGTCAAAACAACATTACAGGTAAAAATCTGTTGAATAAGCTTTACAACAATAATAACTGAATAATCAAACTGTATACTTGCCTACTGCAGGTTCCCAGCTGCATCTCCTCTGGCTCAATCCGCCTTCATGCTTCAAATCCAAACCTCTCCACTGCTGCTCTGAGCAACGACAAAGGCGAAACCGAGTCTCTAGACTTTAATGTTGATGTAGCCAAGCTCCAGGAAGACTTCTGTCGTGTGGCCACCAACTGTGAGCCATCAAACTGCTATTACTAGAAATCTGTATTTTAACTGTTGACCGGCAGACATTACATTTTTGTCTTTTGTCAAACATTATAGTACTGTCTGTAATACACATAACATTTTTGTCAAAAAATATAAGTTTTTCATTTTCATTTGACTGAAAAACACAGACAAACAAACAAGTTGAGGGCCTGCACTCTATGGAAATGTGCCATAAAACATATATGTCTCCATGCGTACTTCTTTTTATGAACTTTAATACCCTTCTCTGGAATATGCCAACTGTAACATCTCCATGGAGACAAGCAGGCAGTGGACTAGAAAAGTTACACAGTGAACCTTTAAATAAAAAAAAAATCCTGATTATTACCAGCATTTAAAAAAATATACATAGACCTAGTTTTCTGCAGTAATCTTTGGGTAAAGTGTGAAAAGCCTGTAGATGCATGACGTCAAAGTATTTGATTGATGATGATACATCTCATTTCATAACGACTCTCTAATATTGTCTCCTCCAGTGCACACTACTATGAAATCTGCTTTAACTTCTCTGACATCGGAAAGAGAGCGGTTAAGACAATGTGTGGAGAGTGAGACGTGCCCACCTACGTCCCCTCAGGTGGTTGGTCTGAAGAATGCCTTATCAACAGTAAGTTATAAACCTTATAATATCCTTAATGCTATAATAACCCTAATTCTATCATTTTTGAATGATTTAAAGTCCTCAAAATGTCAGCAATAAAAAGGAAGCTGAAATAAGTGATAAATACAGAATAGGAGAATGTGAGCTTTAATAGGATAATTAATGTTATGGCTATTATTGTGATCAGTGAAAATACTGTACATTTGGTCTGTCAGTATACTTACTATATAATTGTAATAACAGTATATTTTTAGACTCAATATTTGCCTACTGCTTTATTTACTGGTGGGGATATTATTCTTATTTTTGTGTTTTGTGTTGGTGCGCCAGAGTATTGAATAATTAACACATTTATGACTCACTGCTGTCAAAAAAGGGTTGTCAGAACTGTTTAAAACTCACTAATAAATACTAGAACTAGGATTGAAGTTAGATACGCATTTGAGCAGGGATCAATACCCTAAATCATGTTAAAATAAACTATTATTGTACACTGTTGAAAATTATAGTTTTGATTGTAATATAGAGATGGTACTGGCCACTGTGTGAGACTTGTAAATTAAAGCATCTTAAGTAGAATCAAAATTTTAAACATAAAAAGTTGTAAAGTAGTTTTTTTTAGTATTGAAATCAAGTTAAAAAAAATCATATTGTGATAAGACAGAGCTATATTACAGATACTAACTACTAAAAGTGTCTCATTGCAATTTATTTATTTCAGTCTTGTTTGTTTTGCAAAGTGCAATTAAAGTGGTCTTCAGTTATCAATTTTCACAATATTTCCTTAAGCTATATTTTAAAGGTCCTATATTACTGTATTTTCCACACTATAGGGTGCACTTAAAAGCCTTTAATTTAATCACAAAATGACTATGCGTCTTATAATCCAGAGCGCCTTATATATGAATTTATTCGGGTGTCTTAGTACGACTTTACTTTACGAAACTACAAAGTCGTACTTTTTGCAGCATTACGGCTCCCGTAGTCAGGAGCATCGCAGAGTAATACATACTGTGATTCCTTTTAATATCAAAATGCACCTGTCAAGAGACACACTTACAATGCCCAATTTAAACTCAAGGCTATTATAAAGTTAAACTGCGAGCTACGTGGAGCAGTGGATGAGAGAAGAGGAACACACATTCCCCCAAGACAGGGCGACTTACGCTACGATCTGCCAATGGATCATGGATGCCTGGGCTAAGGATCAGTATCAACTGTGGTCCGAGTTTTCAGGAAGACCAGAATCATCACTGAGCTGCCAGGTAACGGTAACGACACTGACTCGGATAATGAGGAGAAGGATGCGGGCGTGCTGGAGGCCGTAATCGCCCAACGGTTTGAACAATTATGAGTTATTGTGAATACGCTAACAATTTAGCGGTCTCAGACAGTATTGTTTTTTATGCGTTACAATTGAACAAAGTTGAGAGTTATTGTGAACGAGTTAAGTAAGTTTGATTGACTTATCTAACTGTTGTGTTTCGTTTAATGCGCCTTATAGTCCGGTGCGGTTTATTTGTGAAAAAAGTTTGAAAATAGACCATTCAATGACCTTGCGCCTTATAATCCAGAGTGCCCTATAGTGCGGAAAATACGGTACACCATATTACATTAGTTTTTTTCTGTTTGAGAGAAGAAGAGAGAAGAACCAAGTCTAAATATGTGAGTTTGTGTGCTAAACATGTGTAAATAAAACAAAACTCCAGGTATGTTTCTGATGAGCAAACAACATTATAACAGATCTGAAAATATTGTAGTATGAGCCCTTTCAAATGTGACAGACATAATACTAAATTATAGTGGCTATCCTTAAGAACACAGACCACACATTGCACTTTGTTCTCTTTGAAAATGTCTTGCTCTACACCTACACATTTAATTAACTCTAAATAAGACCCAGGGTGTTTCATCTTGATTACTAAGCCTCGATCTACCACACGCTGTTGGTAAAGATGGCTATGATGACATTATGCTGTTTTATATTTTTGCATATTGCTATTAGGACAGGGAGTTGAAGGAAAAAAAGGGGTTTTATTGAAATGTTTTAGCAGGATTTGGATTTAATAAGAAATGACTGGTTGTGCAATATCTTCAACAGTGTGTACATTATATGGCTGTAAAAATCTAGAATAATGAGATAACGTAATAATTAGAACTGATTTTTTGTGTGTGAAAAAAGTTAACCAGTATATGTTTAGAGCAACTGTTGTATTTGAAGACAAAGTACAGTTAATTTAGAAATAACTCTTTTCAATTAAAATGTTCTTTTTCATTTTGTCTTTGCCACATTAGTTTGCTCTTTTTGCGTAATTTTCCTGGTCAACCCTGCACAGGTCTCAACAGTCAGAAAGAAATCAGATTACTTACATTAGATGTAACTATGTGCATGACATTTCAATTACATAACTCCAGAAGTCAGACAATGATCTGATTTTTGGTGTGCATGTAAACGTAGCCAGTGATTGTGATGGTTTGTCCACAGGCTTTAGCCCAAAACAGTGATCTGAGGGAGCGCCTGTCCAAGATTCACGCTGAGTCCCACATTGTAGAGCCCACAATAATAAATATCACTGCCCCTGTGCAGGTGGGTGCATCCCAAGCATCTTGGATCTTCTTTCATTGTCCACCACAAAATGAATCGTTCAATTTGTCTTCATTTAACATAAGCTTTTACGTGAGAGACACCCACTGTTTTAAAGAAAACCCTCATCAAATTGTTGACCAAATGTTGTTTGTGCATGCTGTCTTGAAACTCCTGAAGAGAAAACAAATGATCCACTTTATGAAGATTTGTATATTACAGCGCTGCGCTAATATACATCTTCTGTTCACTCATTATTCTGCTCCCCTGTGCGTTCAGATCAGCATGCTGCCTTATTTTGATTTCAAATGTGTTTTAAAGCACAATTATGGTGATTATATGTGATTAAACCATATGATTTTATACATTACAGTTATTTAAACATTTGTGAGTTGTCTGAATGCTGTGATCCAGTGTTTTGAACTGCCCCTATAATGATGGTGTTTTTAGCTGTGGGCATTTTGTCTCCTAGAAACAGGAGTCCATGGATGACTCCCATCATCTCGTGCACCAGGTTTCCAATGAGAGCCGGGCCTCCATCGCTGAATCTTTGTCTGAGTTCTTCGATGCGCATGAAGTGTTGTTGTCTGCAAGTTCCTCTGAAAATGAGGTGAGCATTCAAAACTCAGCTACTTAAGCAATATGATTAGTTACTCTGCCCAGTTTTCTGTCTTTCTAACCATGACAAAGAGAGATAGTTAGCATTTCACTTCCTGACTTTCTATCCATTGTAATTGTATGCATGTATGCAATTAAAGTAGAAGTTGTCGTGCTGGAATGTTCCACAGTATGGTATTAAACGTATCTATCTTAATGGAAACAACAATCTAAAGGTCGGGGGTTTCATAGGATTTTAGAACAATAACATTTGTAGTTGAGTAGATAAAAGAGAAGTTTAATGCCATACTGTGGAACATTCCAAGCAAAGCATTTGGAGCATATCCATGGAGACAAGCAGGTGGCAGATCTTTATAAATAAATAGCATTTTGACTCTTCTCAAATGTTTTTGAGATCAGCATGGTTGTCTATGGCAATAACTTTCATCGCTCTGATATGTCCCACATAAAGATTTGGCTTTGTCGTGCAGCAAATGAAAATAATGGGAAAATGAAAGTTAATTACTTTGTTCTAAAAATACTTCCAAGTGAAGGAGAGATTTGACTCAAACTCCAGGGGGACTATTTATCTGGAGCTTGTTAGATCTTCTGCTGACAGGACAGGAAGTCTCAAAAATGTGCCATCCTCCATGGACCATTTCACAGTCCATTTGATCAGGCTTTTGTGTGTTCTAGGTGTCTGAGGATGACTCATACATTAGCGACATCAGTGACAATATTTCTATGGACAACTTCAGCAATGAGACCGAATGTGAAAGATCAAGTTCAGGTTAGTATCTTGACAAAATATAGTATTACTAACACTGTCAAAAATGATCAAGAAAAATCAGTCATAAGAAATATCATCAATTTAACCTCAAGGGCAAGAGTTAGAGGTTGTACATTTGCCTATAAGGGGGAAGAAGGGGGTGGAGGGCTACAGGTTGGAGACCCCTGCTCTAATGTACAAAATAAAATTTTATCAAGCATTGTGTTAAATAGTAAATTATAAGAAGCACAGTTTTTGCAATTCCTACATAAAAAATACTTAAATTAAAAAAACTTTAAAAAAAAACTTAAAATGACTCAAATCATGGTAAATATTCTGAGCATATGTTTTTCATGTAGATGATCCTCTTATATGTATGGTTGCAGTTTTGGTGGAAAATGGCATGTACCAGCGCAGATCCTGTCTGCCCTCCCCCAGTCCCAACAACAG